TTCCCTTGCTGTGTGACTATTTTGAGAAAATATTGGTTGCTACCACTTATGAAGTGTTGAGGTACTTATTTTTTTCCTCTTCAGTTAGATAAAGTGAGTGATCAACAGGAGAACATGCTGAGATGAATATGTGCTTCCAGTATTTTTAGAAGTCTTTTTCAGGACTTCAAGACTTCAGAGCCCTCGCTTGTAGCCTTCATTGCCCCACAAGACAAGACTAGCTTTTCTTGATACACGCGTGTATTGTGTTCCTGCTTACAACAACTGTCTAGACAATTTAGGTGAAAGGGAGGAAGCGGATGGCAAATTTTTTTGAGCTCAGAGGGACATTTGGGAAGCTGGTGTAATTTCCAGTGTGCAGAAGCCCTCCAACATTACCTGAGGCAAAGGATTGTTGAAATTCAGCCTGATTTTCACAGAACTTGCACAAAATATCTGACTTCTAGATTGGTGTTAGTTCACAAATCTGCATGAAAACTGCCAGGCCTGGGAACTCTGGGCCAGTAATACTGCCAGTCCACGTTCTACCTCCGTATTTTTATTTTGTGATCTGTGTGGTGGCCACATCACACACACAGCCGTGATGTGCAATGTCGGATAGGGATAAAATGGCAGCTCGTTTTTGCTTCTGAAGAGAGAGGAGTTTAATGCTTGCTGTGTTTTATTTCCTGGAGCAGTCTGCCTCTGGCTGCTTGGGTACAGAGAATGAATGATAGTTTCCTGTCTAGGCTATAGACTCATTTAATGGCTTGCACAAGTAGTTCCTAGAGTCCTAGAGTCTTGTTAGTTATTTTTAAACCTTCTTTGCACACTTACAAATAATCAGTTTGAAACTTGCTGTTATTTGAGTTTTAATATACCTAGAACACCACATTCCAAGATTGGGGCTATCAGCTGTTACTTCATTGGGAATTATTGTAGTTCAGGTCGTGCGGTGCTTATTTCTGAACATGGTACTAACATGAGCCACAGATAAAAATTTATCAGAGGATTTTTGCCTGTAGTGTGGATCTTACTCATGCTTGGTTTTATTTAACACAAAGCAAAACTTTTCTTTTAATGGAATCAGTGTATTTGTCTTTGTGACAAATCTTTAGCCAAAATAAATATTGAGGAGGAAGACATTTTTGTAGCTAGGTATTTGAAGCATAAAAAACTAATGTGCCCTGGAGGTGTGAAAGTGACAGAATTGTATAATTTCAGTAAAAAAAGCAAGGAGTCAATGTTGATATTTTTTTCCTTGTCAAAAACTTGAAATTTCAAAAAGCTTCTGTGAACTGCTGTGGTTTCTGGTGTAATTCTTCATCAGAGAGCAAAGTAGAGACAGAATAAATTGCTTGCAACTCTAACGAATGTATTTGTATGAGCTGCCGTAATGTTTTCTTTCCACTCTGGTAGAGATTTCTCATGGAGTCTAGCGAATCTCATGCAAATAAAAGGACCTTCAGAATAATTGTTCCATTTCTCTTTCTCTCTCTCCTTTTTTTGGGAGATTTATTTACCTCAAGGGTCGTAAGTTGTCAGACTTTCGATCTATACCCTTCTATGCCTGTGATAAATAAATTTTTGCCTTGGCTTAGGACATACTTAGTAAATAAATACCAACATTACTATCCAACAAATAATTTTTCACATTTATTTAGCCATGATAGCGTGGTGTTAGTGGAATAATAAGTAGTCATGCAGAGATTCTCCTTTTTCTGAAAGCATGAATGCTTTAATAGGGAGGAAGGAAGAGTTTTTTTTCTCCTAAGATTTTGTTCCATAGTACCTAGTTTATTATTTTAAAATAAATATATACATAAAGGTAGAAAACCATTTATTTCAAGGAAGTCCAAATACTGTTTTATTACCTTGTGCAACAGGAGCATTTACATGGGGTAGCTTCAGATCTGATTGCAGTCTTGTGTAGGACATTGTGCAGAGACAGGCAAAGATTTAAGCTAAATTTACACCAGAGAGTGTTTATTGCTACTCTTCTCTAGATGCAACTTGCACTGATGAGAGAGTACATAAACTTTGGTGGGAGGCATACTTTTTTATCATCATAGTTGCATCTGTTCAAGATCTTTTGCTGTTAGTTTAGAAAGGGGAGGGGGGGTATGCATCAATGTTTCCCAAATGCTTTTAGCGGGGGTTAGGTCTTCATCCTTATCTTGAAAAAACTTGGCTATGGAGCAATGGAAGGCAGGACAGTACAGGATCTGGAGATCTGGAAGAGTGAAACTTCCCTGCCAGACTGATAAGTCAAGCTTTCCCCCATGAAAGAAGGTAAGTTGGTAAATGTGCAAATAAACACTTTAGCAAATGTGTGGAAGTTTAGCAAATAAATATGGCAATATTTTCTTTTAAAAGATGTTTATCTGTTAAATTGTACTGTAATTAGTTTATTGTGTCAACAAAATCTTGAAATGGAACTGCTTTTAAATGTGGATTTTCTTTTTTTAGCACTGGTTGGACCATTCAAAATTCATTAAGAAGCAAATAAAAAGTAAGTACCATGTCTCTGCCTGTTTATTTTGTTACTTCCTTAAGAATTTGAACTTCGAGTATTTGAATGTGATTGTGAATGTTTAAATATGGCTTTTAAAGGAGTAAATATTTCTTAGGAAATAGATTTAATTTAATGGCCAATTGGCTGACTGTATCATGTCTAAATGCAAGAGCACTTACAAGCGATAGACCAGCCTTCAGTAGCCCTCGTTAAACATGTGCTGTTTGTCGGAGGCAGAGTAGGTTGCCAGGTAGTTTCGGTGTGATCTGTGAAATCAGGTTGCCTGGACGCAGATCGTGGTTTCTGTCACTGCTTCTGATCTGGAACAGATTTCATGGGGATTTTTCAAAGAGTAATTGGAAAATATTTCGTTGTGTAACGGTTAACCTCTTTTTTGTATATTATAAATAAAACTAGCAGAAATACCTGCTGTTTTGTCAAAGGGAGTTTTGGGTGGAGGGGTTGGGTTTGGCCACTGAGTCTTTTGTGGAAATTGGCTAAGGCAAATTGCTCCTGGATCTCTGATAAACTGGTTGCAGGCTTGGGTATGGTACAGCATTGGTACGAATGTGTTTTGTTAATATACTGCAGTTGGCAACAGCCATAGGCCAGCTGATAATACCGCTTCTGTGAGATTAAAATACAACATTTTGCAAGGGAATTGTTGACCCCCTTGCAGGACCTCACAGAGGTGGGTCTTGATTGTTTCAGTGGTGCTTTGCCTTTCTTTCTGATAAGTACCCAAATATCTAGATGATTTTTATGAATGGTGGAGTTCTTCAAAGGCCTTTAGGGCAGTTTGCTTTCACCCCACAGTGTGTGGGTGTCAGTCTGCTAGTATAGATGGTAAAGACAGATGCTATGGGTAAGGTTTTGATGGTTGGCTTTCTCTCACCTTTTCATCACATCACAGACAGCTTTACCTTAAGTGACTAAGTGATTTGCAGGTCCACTTTCTGTGATAGCTTTGTCCATTTCTTGATCTGTCTTAAAACGTGGAAAATCAACAATTCTGTAACACCTTCAACCAGTTTAGTTGCACTGTTTTGTCTGTGTTTACTCACAGACAAAGCGCCTGCTTTAAAAAGAAATTGGCCAAGCCCTGCCCTGAGGAACGCCAAAGAGGGAAGCAATTTGATGAGTGTTGTAAAGGTCGGTCTCACAACAGGATACTTTTCTTTACCTTGCACTCAGCAGGTGCTTTGAGAAGAGTTCCTCTTTCATGATGGATGTTGCTCACTGCTCTTTTTTCCGCAGCAGTGGGCACGTAAGGGTCATCATCTCGCTGATGCAGACCTTACCAGTGGTGCCTCACTGTCAGCCTGGGGTACTATAACCTGGCTTCTAGAAGCTATCGTTGGAGACAGCGTCAGAGCACTAATTATTAGAGTTTTGGCTGTACATCGTTTAGTAGAATGGATCATTAATAGGCACATATATACTGTGTTGATGTGCTGTTACAGAAGACCTTAGAAAGGTGTGAAAAAGTCATTATTCCAGCACTTGATATACCAGCAGGCTGTTGGTCTGGAAGATGAGGCTTAGGCAGATAAGGATGCATTGGTCACAGTCTCATGGTAGCTGGGTAACATTTTATTATCTGTGTTGCATAGAAAGTCAGACCTAGCATTCGCCTTCTGGCATTAGAAAACAATCCTTGCAACTCCACTTCATGGAATTTGTTAGCTTTCTGTGTTCATGGGTGCCTTCCAGAGCCCTCTCCAGCACTTCTCACCTTATTTATCTTACCCTTTCTCATTCACATGTGTCAATCCAAAACCCCTCTCACCCAACAGATCAGCTTTTGAGTTACATTTGCGCCTGGTAACAAGAAGCATCACCCTCTCCCTCTCTTCCATCTCCCCCTGCCCCCAGTAACAGGCAGTGTACCTGGAACTTGCTGTCATTCACAGCGTGCTGTGGGGCACACCTCTGAACAAAAATAATGTGTTTGCCAAATGGTCTGTTGCTTGGTTAATCTAATGATTACAGTATCACAAAGTATGGTAATCATCTAATTTTTTTTATTGCATGTGTTTTTAAATTTAAAAACATGAAATATTTGCTGCTTTGAAGAATTTGAAAAACATACTTCATTTTGGGTTTCTTGGATTGTAGGCTGGTGGCTGTTGTTCTGCCTTAGCAGAACTGCAACTAGTGTAAACTTTTTTTTCCCCATTTAAAATCTCTGCATATACAGTTGGACCTCCGTACACGTTGCATTTTCGAATTAAGTACTATTCATCAGAACCGAACAACCTTCATGAGGAGTTTACAAGGTAGGAACTATGTGTGGTTAACTGGGTGACTGGCAGAGGGGTAAATAAGACATCTGAGGCACGTGGGGGAACTATAAGCAGGTAATTTGAGCTTTCTTACTAAGAGTGGTCATTTTGGCTGACTTCTTAGGTGTTTTCCTACTGTCAGACATCATCTTTTTATTTGCTGCCAAAACCCATTCATGGGCCTCTTCAAGTGTTTTAGTCCGTAGGAGATGCAGTGTTCTGATGCTTTGAAGTTAGCAAGGAAAGGCAGCGTTGGGCGGGGAGAGCTGCAGCTGGGAGACAGCTGCTCTTTACACCAGCGACACCTGCCATACCTCTGAGAGGATTTTTTCATCGTGTCTTGCTAAAATGCCAGTGCTCTGCTTTGTCCCCCTTGCTCTGAGACTTGGGGGTGATTTAATAATGGTAAAAAAGCCACAGAATTGTGGGAGTAGACAGCTTGAGTGAGGACTATACCTTGCTGGGTTCCTGGTGTGATCTAGAGGATATTCTGAAAATTGGGAAAGGAGCAGCTGGAGGAGCAGGGTTTACTTCTCTTTTGTATCTGCCAACTTTGTGTCTTCTTTGTATAGTAATCATCTATCTTAATGTTATTTTATCTTTTTTTTTGTTGTTCTTTTTCTCACCGTAGGGCACTTTCTATGTCTTCTAATTTGCTTGGCAATAATCAGTGTACTCCCAGTCAGCCTAAGGTGTTTAAAGATTGTTGATTGTTGTAGTTCATGTGCATGTGATGTTTACATTAAACTTAATGCCTGCAGGCATATGTTTACTTTCTCCTTTCATATCTGCTGTGTTGACCGTGTATTCTTTTTTTTCATTGCCTGAGACAAGATCAAAGAGCTAATTGTCACCACCTTACGAGACTGATATGGAGGCTTTAATATCCCTTGTCAGTTTAGTGCAGCAGTGTTAATAAAAGGGCATATTCCTATACAATGTATAATTAACCTATAGAACTCCCTGCCCTTATGTAATTAAGTATAAGATCTTAGAGAATCCAAAAACCTGGATGATTTTTGGGCATCTCTAGTGAGAAAATGCAGTTAAACTAGTAAGAATGATACATAGCTTCTGAAAATCATTGTAAGTCTTCATACATCAGGGTGCATGTCTGACAAGTATTACATTTCCGCTGTGGTCAAATTATTCCATTACTGTCTACCACAAGATTTCTTGCTTAATCCTCTGAAGCGTATGATCCTAGTCACTGCGAGATGTGTGTTTCTGAGCTATGTGATCATTGCTGTGATCGAGTAAGACATTTCCTCTGAAAGTATTAACCTCTGATGCTTTGTGATCTAATTATTACTGAAAGGTGGCATTTCAGAAGACTATTTTAATTAGGAAAACACTTTAGTCAGCTAAAATTTTCAGTGTTGTGAACAATTTTTTTTTTATTATTATAAGTTTGACAGAAGACCACTGTGAAACTATGGAAGGAAAATGAAAATGAGCTGGAAATTTATTTTACAGTGAACAAATAGTTGCATTTTTCTTTTTTGTTAGGGAAAGCAATTTTGAATGAGGCTGGGTTTTTAAGAACCTTTATGCTGGCTGGATCATATTTTCCATGTAGCATGTTGAGTAAAAAGTGAAGATTAGCAACTATATACTCAGAATTATTCCAAGTGGAAATGGAATGGGAGTAAGAGGTGGAAGGAAAATGATCACTAAGAGAAACTATGAACTGGCCTGGTTGGGGGACTGTTCAAAATTTGTTGTGGAGACCTGTTTTCTAGTAGACTCTAGTTTCTCATACTAAGCACAGTAATATGGAAGTGTTGAAACCCTTCACCCACTCTGTCTTTTTCCAATTTAAAAACACGGTTGAAATCCAGTGCATTTTGGAAGACATCCTCTATCACTCTTATGGGACCTTATTAGTTAGTTTAGTTAGAAAAACAACAGAGGAATATGTCTGTATATGTGTGTTGTGGACAATTTTCTAAGGTATTTTGCTGATTTGGAATATCAATAATAGAGATGCTGATGCTTGTCAGTCTGTGTGCAAAGGAGTAAGTGTAAGCCATACCAACCAGAGCAGAGCTGCAGGGCTGCACAGGCCGGCTGATACCAACAGAAGCACTGGCCAGATTTTTCTTGCAAATTTAGAAGAGTTCATGGGATTGTGAATCATCAGCGAAAAACAATAAGAACAGGAAATATACTTGTCTGCCTTTAATCTATGCACGCAAATACCCAGGTTTGATTGGCAAGTCAAGTATTAGCCAAGTATGTGAATCGGAGATGTGACACAGAACCAGCGTGGATAAATCTGATTCTGCTTTAGCGTGTCATGAGAAGTCTTCTTAATCTTCATTTCTGTTCTCCTGTCTAATTCCAACTATTCATCCTACACATCCACACACATCCACATTCACAGCATGTCCTCTGTGATGAAAACCACCTTGTCTTTCTAGCATCCTGTGTAAAGATAGGAGAGGTTTACATTTGCGTTTACTGGGTTGACTCTCAGTAGCGCTTCATGCTTTCTCCTCTGGAGTCGCTCACTCATCATTGCGAGCCTCACCCCGCGGTGTCCAGAGCAGTGCAGAGCCTTCCTGTGCCGTCCTGTCCTGTACAGAGCTCTTGCATGGCCTGGGGTGCTTCTGCATGCCTCAAACCCTAACTCAGAGTGGCTGTAAAACATGAAGCATGCCTAGAACTGAAGATTAGCAAGAGCTTAAAATGCTCCTACAGTTTGAAGGCTGTAAATTCCTCCTTGGCCTCCTAAATAAATGCGTGGGCTCTATGGAATTCAGAGTTCTTTTATTCAGAACTTTTCTGCTCTTTTAAGTGAAAATTGAGTCTGAGCTTTTCCTTTTGCCCAGTTTGGACTTTTTACATGTTCTGTATTTCTGTTTGAGAAGGTAGCCCTGAAGTCCTCATGCCTTTATCTGCATTTTGTTTCTAGATCCTGTAGTTCAATTCTTCCTTGAATTGGGCAAGACCCAGTTCAGGAGAACACTGGAGTGTCAATAATGTTTAGATTGCTGTGGTGTATGCTCCGATAGAGCACACCCCTAAACAGCAAGGCTTTCGACAATGCCCTGAACGCGGCCAGTAGGTGAAAAATGTTCTCTTTTTGATTTTGGTGAAAGCTATGGGAACTTTGAAGGTTGCAGGGTGTATCTGAGTGATCCCAAAGGCCCTTTTTTAAGAGCAAGTTAATGAAAATGTTATGACTACTCAATGAATTGGGATATTTTTCCAGCCATTGGGGCTAGAAAGATGACATTATATATACTTTTGACTTTATGAATTTTTATTTGTCAGGTACCTGTTTGTATTACAGCTCCGGCAAGACATTCTTTCAGGGAAGTAAGTACCTCTTTGCTCTTGCAGCTGTAAGTTAAAGTACTTATCATAGTTAATCTCTTAGTGATTTAAAATTTTACTTTAACTGCATGATCTTTTTAATTCTTTATGGTATTCGTGCACAGATTATAAACATGATTTACAGTTCCACATGCATTTTTTTTCCTTTAGAATATAGAGATCTATGGCTTTGTGTGCACCATGACTATATTATTGACAAGCAGAATGGGTAAAGACCTTTGATGGATTGACCAGGTGATGGAAATGTATAAAGAGAGCAAAGACTGTCCTCTGATTTTTATGACTTGAAAATGTAACATGGACTGGCCATATTTTTCAGTATCGTAGGTAAAATAGAGGAGGAAAAGATGATGAAGTGCAACGTTTTCTGTACAGGTCAACCCTGCAAAAATATTTTGTGTGTTTATAGTCTCACCCTGACCAATAAATTCACACCTCTTTTTTTTTTTAATTACAAAAACAAAAAACCCCCAAAACACATGCTCTAAAATACATTGTTGGAGCGAAAATTATTTCTTCATATTGTCTCTATTAGTTCAAGCTTGTTTTATGGTGGAGTGTATCATGTGTTTAGTGCTAATTAGAATGTACCAAATTAGGAAATAATCATATGCAAGTAAAAATTAATTGTAGATTTTTCATATTATTAGTAACTTGTGGTTTAAGGGATCTTGTGGAAGTTAATGTTTCCATTCCATATATCAGATTACTTTTTAGCTTTATTGCAAGAAGACCTCACTGAGAAAAAAGACATTGTTTTTATAGATTGTTTTTTTTCTTTTTAAGACTGAAATGCCCATATGAAACTGCTGTTGAACTAGCAGCTCTGTGTCTTCAAGGTATGCCATCTTTTTAAAGTGGTTTCTCTTACTGTATTAAAAAACTCGTCTCCTAGTTTCTTTTCACTCTTTGTTACTAATGATTTCTCACTGATCATATATAAATGCCATTCCTTTACCTGAGGAGAAGAATTTTAGGGAGGTTACTTCCCTGCCTTCCCTCCATTTATAACTTCTGAACCACATTAGCCAACGTCAGCATGCTTGCCGAGGGGAAGGAACCTCAAAGGCATGGATAGACAAAGGTTTTGTAGAAACCGTGGGCTGACTAGGGAAGAAAGACCCCAAATAGTTCCCCACTGAGGGAGAAGCTGCGGGATGCGCACAGTGTCACCCTTCATCCTGCAGAGCCGGCGGCCCGTCAGCGCGTGGTTTGCGGCATGCAGGTCCCTGCGGCTGTAGCTTTGGCCACGGGCTGCCCGCTGCCTGGCCAGTGCTTGGGAGCGCGAGCCCCCGCCGCCTGCGAGACAGGAGGTGGTTACAGGGCAGGAGGCGGGGGGTGGAAGGTACTGGAGAGGAGAGAATTATATGGTGGAAGGGTGAGAACTAAGAACTAAGATTAATTCTGTGTCAGAACCAAGGGTTACAAGATATTAAAAAAAACCTTGGACACTAGGTTTCGTTAGTGAATTGTAGGAAAAAGTGTTTTATTTCTGCGAACACAAATATTAATTCCATTTCAGGTGGTTTGTTTGGCAGATAGGGAGGAAACATGTGCAGCGAAGCTCAAATCAAGTTCATTTTTTCTAAAAGAAAGTGCAGTGATCTGGATCAGTCTAGGCGTATCAGCAGCAAAATGAATCGAAATGAAAAATACTCTTCCTGTTCCGCTGGTGGTTGGCAATGGTACATGGAGTGCTTAGGCAGAGTCTGTTAGTTTAATACAGGAATGGAGATAACTCAGTGATTCTAGATGGACTTGACAATCAAAACGGGGAATTAGTTCCAAACAGCAACAGGTGTAAATCCTAAGGCAGTGGGTTATTTTTCAGTTTCCATCTGCACCAGTGTGGCATAGCTCTGATTGTTAGGTGTGCAAAGAACTGCTGCAGGCAAACTCCATTTGTCTTTTTGAGATGGAGAAAATCTGGAGCCCATATTTGATTCATTGCTTCCGTTTTCACAGATAAAACCACCGGTAACTTCACCCCTAGTCTAAGCAAGGAGAACCAGCAAAGAATAATAGGTTGATGCCTCAACAGTTTGGGTAGTGATTAAAACCTGTGATTACTGTGTAAATGTAATACAGTAGCCATCCATCATGTTTATGAAGTCTCCAACTAGGTACCAAAACTAACACTTCTTGACACTGTCTGTGGGAATATATTTAAATTGTGGTAGTGTTTTCATACTTTTCTGCTGTCTTTTTTTCAGTTTCAGTTTTCTGCTATTTTGACATCATCGCAATAAATTTCTCCAAAATCATTTCATTATTGCAACTAATTTATTTATCTCTGCTGGCATCTGTTATAATTAGCATTCTTTATAACATTTCTTACATTTTATTGACATCGGGAGCTTTTAATTAAGCAGAAGAGTTTAAAGAAATGTCAGTTGATTATTCCCTCCTCGCTCTGTGAAATCCAATCTTGCTCCTTAGTGTTGCTTTCCTAAGAGCGAGGAAGAAGGTATAAAAGGCTCTAACCCTATGAAAGAAAGGCCTTTTGTCTTTACAGGACAGCTTTAAACTTCACACATTTTCTTTATCAACGAAGTTGTTCTGTTACAGTAACTCTTTGTTTCAAAAAACAGTTTCATAGGCTGGCGTCTTGTGTGAATCATCTTTCAAACAGAAATTGTTGGTTTGTTGCCAGTCCCGTGAAGGGAATTCTGTAGCAAATAACATCAATTTGCAGTATGGGGTAACTTGTGAAGTAGATGCATCATCATATGCTTCACTTAGGGATTATCTACAGAAAGGCTGTAATCAAACTTCAATCGTCACCGCTAGAATAAGTTTTTAATACCTCATTAGTCTTGCGTGGCTTTCATATTTAACCAGGTATACTTTTGAAACTACTAATTAAACTGAAAAGGAAAACTGTTTCTCAGATCTCCAGTTTTCAGTTCTAGTCATAAGACATCTTCATGGGATAGTGCAAACTTCTTTTCCTTCTGTGTAAAAGAATCAACAATATATTTACAGATAAACACATTTTTGCACTTTTCAAAAACTTTCTAGGAAACTTCCTTTTAAAAATGTCCCCCGGTTTATGCAGTTATTTGTTAAACAGCATGGATAATGTATATAAATGCATTATGTAACACACACACACACCCCCCCCCAAAAAAAAAAAAAAAAAAAAAAGACCAGAGGACGGGCATGCCAAAGCATGATACTTTGTCACAAAACCTCAAATGAAGAGATGGGTCCTCTGCTGTGCCCTTGTGTTGAAAAATATTAGTGCTGCTGAGCCATTCAGGGAACGTAATCCTACCAGGAAAGACACGAGTGAGAGCATCCTCGTACGGAGCCCGCGCTTCCCCCTTCTTCCGCTGCCCTTCTACCCTGTGCGGGGAGCTGATGAGGCACTTACTGGCTCTTACTCTCAAGACCTGTTTCTTAGAGATCAAAATGATGACATCGTTTGTTTTCCAGAAAGTGAATAAATAGTGAGTGCAGCTATCGAGAAACAAGGGTGATACTTTTCTCGTACCTAATACTTCTGCCCTAGCTTCTCTGTGTATCTTTTGTCCTATGTGCTCATGATTTTTCTCATCCTTACGCATCCTCTTTACAGCAAAGTCAGCCTTCACTCCCCGCCTTCTCTCTCAGTTAACTAGTAGAGAAATCTCCTATGTTTTTCTTAGATGGTTGTCAACAGATCGAACTTCAGTTTCCTACTTCTTTCCCTGAAGTCCTCCTTGCTAATGTGTTTGTTGTGGCTCCTTCTTATGTACTAGAGACTAGACTGCCAGTAATTCTTAGCAACATCTCTGTTAAATAGGCTTCCAACTTAAATGAAACAGCAGCAAAGCTGAGATATCTCTGTTAAAGAAAGAGACATATAGATAAGAATGCTGCAACTCGCCGTGGAAGAATACTGTCGGAGAGAAAAAAATGTGTGTGAGGCAGTAGTTAGAAACGAAGATCAGTGAACTCAATCTGTTTAATATCCTCAGGAATGCTAAATGTTTGAGCAAAGCTCAAGTGCTCAAACCCACCTAGTAGGTCTATCAGTCAACAGATTGCATTTTGAATGTAACTTCTGTGTTCTAATGTATCCCGCTAGGTATTTTCGCAGACTGAGAGTGAATTAAATTTTTGCAACTGTTACGTGTAAAACGGCCCTGAAGCAATAACACTGTTTTAATAAATTTAATAAAACTGGGATTTCATTTCCCTCTATGCTTTTTTTTTTATTTTTAGTAGTAATGGTAGTAGTATTCGAGCAACACCAACTGACAAAGGCCTGGTTTGGAATCACATCCTATGTCAGGTGACACGTCGTATTGCTGAATGGTGTATTTGCCACTGATGTGTGTCTCACAGTCCCGAGGCAGTGACGTTGCAGGCTCTTTGTATGGCTGGGAGGTTCCAGGAGCAAAGCGTGTTGCAGCCACAAGACAGTTAAGGGCGTCAGTCACTGAGGTGCTCAGCACTGGCCTCTCCTGCTGAGCTCAGCAGAGTTTGAAAGTGTTCTGCTCCTAGACAAGAAGATGCCAGGCCCGAAGTAAATAAGTAGAAAGTGACACCTCAATTATGTTATACCACCACTGTGGTTTTAAAAAAAAAAAACAAACCCCACAACTTCATCACTGGTTTCTTGAGACTAGGTATTATCTTCATGTTTTGACACGAACAGTAATGTAGCAAAGCATGCAATAGAATGGGAAGTGTTTTGGAACAAAAGGTATGGCCTCATTGCAATGAGAGGAAGTTTCAAAGTAACCTCTTCTGAAACAGTGGTGCATTGATTTTTCTTTTTAATTGAAACTTTATTTCCTTTAAATGCTTTAAAATCCAGGGAAGCAGCTTTAGTTAAGCGGGTTTAGTTCTAACATTCTTGAATGTCAGAATTCTGTACCATAACCCTACACTGCTCCTGCAAATGCGTTTGTCTAACTTTTGCTGTAAAATCTGATTTGAGTTTGGGAATGGGGGGGGTTAACTTACAACATCAGCACAAGTGTATTCTTCTACAACATACTTGGAAACTTACAAACTATCATTGTCTTTGTGGAGATTATGGAATCAACTGTTTCTGGTCATCCCATGATCTTTATGTTTTTAACTTTTCAACTGATTGATTGCAGCTGAGCTGGGAGAGTGTGAGCACCCAGAGCACACACCAGAACTCGTGTCTGAATTCAGGTTTGCCCCAAACCAGACCGAAGCAATGGAATTTGATAAAGAGTGCAGGTAGGGTACCTGTGTGGGAGTGGTGTCTCTAGCAACAGGAGGTTTTCTTCTCTTCCAAAGTCAAATATGTTCACAAGAACCCCTTCAACAGACGTAACACAGTGATTATGTTTGTCAGTTGAGAAGTACTGTAGATAGACTTTGAGCCCTCCCTGTCCCTCAAAATGGCAAGCGATAATTTAGGGAAGGTTGGTGGGGTGAGTTTTCTTTTTTGTTTCTTTGTTTTGCTTTGGATGATTTCATAACAGTTTAAGCAGTCTGATCTTTTTTCTGCTTATGTTGGAAATAATTCTCTTTCTCTCTCCTTCTTTCGTGCATGCACACAAAGTTTTGTGTTCCGGGTAGTAGCAAATGCTTTTTCTTCTCTTTTGTTAATAAATGTGGTACATTTCGGTGATGCTGTCTTACCTGAACTCTCATCCTTATTGGCAATTTTAGACCTTTTTCAATTTTTGTCTCTCCGATTTATTTTCATTTGGATGGAATAGGGTAAAAATACAAGCTAAGCTTGAAATACCATTTAGTGTCATTAAGATTGAGGCCCAAAGAAAAGGGACAGGGGAACAAATTTTAAAACATTTAAAACAGACAAAAATTTCATATGGTAAAGTACAAATATATTTTATGTTCTTAGGGGAAAGAGCCCGGCGCAGGCCGAATTGTGCTACTTGAACAAAGCTAAATGGCTAGAAATGTATGGTGTAGATATGCATGTAGTTAAGGTAAGATCCATGTTATACCTTATTTTATTAATGTGGGGTCAGAACATTGAATGGAGATGCTGTCTTGGGCAAAACAGTCTTGACTCAGGGAATTTAATTTAATATACTGCCAATTAACATGAACATTTAATTACTGATTTGAGTACTGACCAAGAAAAAGAAGACAAAAACATAAACGCAGTAAAGCCTTTCCTCAGTCTTTCCCAGCTCAACTTCAGTCCAACAGCTCTGCTCCCTCCGTCCTAGTGTCAGCTCCCCTTGTTTTCCCTGGGGGTTACACTCCGTCCCTCCCAGTGCAGCCCACAAGGTTGGGATCATCCGCACGAGAGTTTCTTTGTGTTCCTTCCTGCTTCTCACTCATTTTCCTCTGCTGACCTGTGCTTCTTACTGCTGCTCTGCTGCTGCATGGGTCGTCCAGTGGCCACTGTCCCTCAGGGCCGTCCCTGCCCCGGTTAGGGGTTCTCTGCGGGCTGCAGTCCCCCAGGGCTGTCCCTGCCCCAATCAGAGGCACCCGTGGGCCATGGCCCCTCAGGGTTGTCCCTGCCCTGGTGTGGGTCAGTCCCTTAGGGGTGTCCCTGTTGTGGTGTGGGTTGCCCCTGGGCCGTGGTCCCCCAGAATTGCCTCCTCCTGCAGGGAGAGCCTCCTCCCAAGAGTGCATCTCCAGCCGTGTCCCCCACAGTGTCCCTTTCCACATGCCTTTCCCACATTCCTCAAATTTTTCCTCTGTGTCTCCTGCTTGCTTTTAAAGACATTTGAGACAAGGTGTGGGCTCCCCTGGCTGCAGTCCTGGTGCGGGACCGTTTCCACAGGCACCAGAGCCATTTGGGGCAGCACACAGCCTCCTCCCACGCAGGGCACCCTTGTTGCCAAAACCTACCAGTTTGCGCCCAATACAGATGCATATTGTTCTGCTCTGTAATCTTAAAAAAAGATCAAACCTTATTGTTTAGTTTAAAACCTATGGATTTTGACATACTACTGTAGTGAGATTTACACTAATAATGGCATATTGATTATTGATTCTGTGCTTGCTTGCAGGGAAGAGATGGCTGTGAATATGCTCTTGGACTGACACCAACAGGCATATTGATCTTTGAAGGAGCCAACAAAATAGGCTTATTCTTTTGGTAATCTGTTTTTGTGTTATATTCCTTTCTGTTAAAATGCTGAAATCTTTCTCCTTTACATAATGGGATCTTGACCGTATTTTGTAATGTAGATTGAATCTACAAGGTTAAATCTGAAGATAAATTGGCCTGGTTAGAGGTACCAGTCTCAAATGTGAAATATTTTTTGAAAAATAGTCACATTTCCAGGAAATCATACTTTTCTTATGATTTCTGAAGTGTTCCAGGATTGCAGATCACTCATACATTTTTGAGGATTCTCCTAGATTACAAAATGCTATTTTTCCATTAATTTTCTTTTTGCTTCTTGTGTTTAGGCCTAAAATCACAAAAATGGACTTTAAAAAGAGCAAACTAACACTTGTGGTTGTAGAAGATGATGAACAGGTAACTTTCTTCCCTTACTCGGGCCTGCTCCAACAAAGTGTGGTGTGTGCTCAGGCTGGTAAGAACACAAGGGAGGCTCAGCACACTGTTGGCCCAGGCTGTAATTATCCTGCCAAGGACAGTAACTAATATCATGCATGCCAACTTCCAAAGCTTTTGTTTCTGCATTTAGGGCAGAGAGCAAGAGCACACATTTGTTTTCCGGTTAGACAGTGCCAAAACGTGCAAACATTTGTGGAAGTGTGCAGTGGAGCACCATGCTTTCTTCAGATTGCGAGCCCCAGCAAATAGTAAATCTAGTAGATCCGACTTCATAAGGCTGGGATCACGCTTCAGATTCAGGTATTTAGCGAAGTAACAGCAATGTATTTGTGTTCATGTAAAGGAGCAGGTACAGCAACCAGCGAAAGGCAGGAGTTAACTTTGTTTATTTCTGTATTTTAAGTGGGCGGACAGAGTATCAAGCAACACATGGGACAAGATTACGCAGAACTAGTACATTTGAAAGAAGGCCCAGCAAGCGATACCCTTCTCGAAGACATTCAACTTTTAAGGGTAAGTGTTTGTACATGTGTTCATTGAACCAGTCATGCAGGTGTCCTATTAACTCACATAAATGTCATATTGCAACCATAAGTCTGTACCATAGTATAAAAAGAAAAACATGTCAGACCACCTAAAAAATCAGATAGTACATGGTTTTTTTTCTCAGAAGTCCATTGTTCGTACCTACCGGTTTTAATCTCTGTCTACACTTAATTCTTCCGTCCCCCATCTATGGAGAAGGAGGTACCTACAGTTTCTTTTGATGCCTAGCTGAGGAAGGAAGAAAAGTTGCATCAAACTCAATGAGGGAAAATATGTAACATTTTCTCTGAAGAAGTGCATTTGTCATGTAGAGTGGAGCAGTGTCTAAAAGCCTCGCTGACTTGCTTATCTAGCCAGACAGTTTTAGGGTTATTGAGCAGTCTCATTATGCAGTTGTTGCTATTTTGCTGACTGTGGTGGCATGTTACTCACCTATCCAGACTCTGACCTTAACCAGCTTTCTCTGGGAGCTGAAATGTGCTGAATTTGAATGGAATGACAAGGAGTTGATTTCCCTCATGGTTTTGTCATTTGTCCTTCAAAACCTAAGCTGAGGTTTTTATTCATTGTAGAAAAAAATAGGAAGGAGCACTACAAGACAACCCCCTCTAAATTCTGTATTACTTGAGGCTGGAGGTGCAGTTGCTGTATGGAGCAGGGTGAGCTGACATTCTCTTAGGATGTCTTTGTGCTCCTTTGTATTCCTAGACCATGAACCTCAGTTCCATGAAAAGTCCTTGTGGTATTATGGGGGACTTTAATTTCTCATGTACAATGGGGAGAAAAGGGTAGCAAGCCTGCATGCTTTCTAGAGGCTGTAACCTCCCCCTCCCCCTTCCTTAGTACATATCAGTTTTTTAGGGAAAAGCAAATTCATTAAATCTGTGAGATACTGTTATGTGATACATGAGAGTCAATTATATGGTAAGCGTGGATGATTTCATAAGTGGAAGAACAGGTTATTTAAATTTTATTTTTACAATAACAGGATCTGTCAGACCTGCAGGTTGTACCTTGTGTCTTAGTGCTTCTGTGCTTACGTCTGTGAGATGGGGGGAGAAGAGAGGAAGTGTGGCCTATGCTCAGTTTAGTTCTCTGTGCATAGCAGCCAAGCAGAACTTCTGTCATACCCAGATGATCTCCCTCCAGAGAGCTCAACAGCATGTTTGTTAAGTTAATGCAAAAACTCCCTTTAGATTGTCTTTTACGCAGCTCTTGGCCATTAAGACCTGTACCTAGTTGCAGCCCACAAGTGTTGGATTCTGTCCTAACTCAGTCTCTTTGAGACTTCTACAGTGTCTCATTAAGTTTGTCATCCACTTTCTGCATTTAGCAGAGACTTGGATTTTCAGCTGTATCACTCAGCAGTTTTTCAGTGCTATTGAAAAATATGCTGTTTTTCAGGAAAAAGAATTGATACATCCCAGTTATTCAGCTGCCTTCTTCACCGTTCCTTCCAGCCTGTCCAAAGCACGAGCTAAGACCTTGTTGCTCAAGATTGCTCAGTGCCTTCCCATATTCCCAACTGATGGGCTTATTTGGCTACTATCGTTCACTGTAATAAGACACAGGCCATTACCATCTTCAGGAATACTCTGTTTTCCGTAAGATTGCAAAATTGCTATGAGGGGTAGCTTCTGATTTCTGAGGGGCTCAATGGTATTGTCATGGTAGCTACAGCAAGGTGAGAAAAGTAGTGCTCTGCTTGTGCAGAACTCACTCTGCCAAAAGTCCTTCTGTTGTGACATTTGGGAAGAATACCCTGTCTGCTGTCACCTTTGATGGGCTTTGACTCTTGCAGAAACAGAGGGAGCTTCATGGCTGCCTCATACTTTATATACTCACACAGGAATGCTAGAAAGCACAGGGCTGCACTTGTGGTTCTGATGCATTTGTGCAAATGTATCTGTATGAAGATTCACTTGAGCTGTAGTGTAACATCCCAATCACGATAGCTGCAAAATGACTGATATTTCACGTCTTAAGGTTTTTTTCACCTGTCTTAAGGTTTTTTGTTTGTTTCTTTTTAAGCAAACAATCCTGTGAAAGCGGCACAACTGTGGTAAGTGACTGCCCAAGTTCTCCCTACCTCTCAGTTGCTGTGGTCAGGCAAACAGGATTCTGAAGACCATTTCTGCCTTAGGATTTGTCGAAACAAATTCTCTGGTGTGGGATGAATTGTTTTGGGATCTCTCATTATGCAGTACCGGATTCCTCTTGGGGACTTCCTATGAGACTTTAAGTGCTTCCATTTTTTAATATTTTTTTCTTTTTGTGTTTGAGATCAGACTAAAGTAAAGCATACTTCCTTTCTGCCTGTTGCTGTTATGCTAACTTACCTAGCGTTATTTGTCCCTGTTTCATAAATGTAAAATGAAGAAAAAAATTTTGCACCCTAATTGCTGTGGTGTTTATCTTGCATAAAATATTGATGTCCTTAAGAATATGGATTTTACTTCACTGCAGTACTTCCCTGAAGAGTAGAACCCTGAACTATAGGAAACTGTGACATAGACGTACTGATTACATACAAGCTAATTTTTTTTCTCCCTTAGTGCTAAAAGTACTCCTGAAGTCCATAACTACCAGGTAAGAGCATAACAATTGTTGAGGAGAATATTGTCATTTTCTTATTTAGTGGTAAATATTTTTGCTCTCTATACTTAGTACAGCTGGTTTCCTCCCCTGTCCTTACGGTGGGATGAGATTCTCTGAGGTGGTTCAGAAATAAACAGCGTCACATTGGGAGTTAAGGGGAAAGTGGAGGGACTCTTCTCTCTTTCTTTTTCTGTGTTCTTGGATGCTCTGCAAGCTGAGTATGCTCCATTTGCCACCCTCCTTCCCTTCCCTTTCTTTTCTGTGAAATCCCAGGTTAAAACCTGTGGGACTGTGAATATGATGGACCCCAGGAGACTGCTCTGTGAGCAGCGCTTTTTGTCTAGAGCAGCCTCTCACTTTGGGTGATCCGTGACAGCAAGTTCAAAGTTGCAATTCTCTTCCCCATCGCAACACTTAAGGAGTTCATTGCTGGTCAAATGTTTGTTTGTTGCTTTTTTTTTAACCAAGCTCCTTTATACACTTCAAGGAAAAACCTTACTGGTTTTCATCTCTGGTACTAGCACTCAGTGCTACTGAGAAAGCAAGCTGTGCTTTCATCCAAACTGAGTGTGTGCATGAAAACTTAGTCTTAACACTTGTTATTAAAAGCCTCACTAGTGATTTTGTTTCACTGTTTCTCCTCATGATCTCATGGATATGAGAGAGAAATGCTGTCACCAAAGATGGGTGACCTCCTGAAGACTGCTATTATAATAGTAACCTTTCTCACTCTCCACCTTTGATTAAAGCTGACATTCTTGTGATTGTGCTTTCTATGAGAAGTACTAGACGTGCCACGTTGTCTCTCAAACAGAAAAGCAATTTTCCTTGCATTTTCCCTTGAGTGTGTCCTAATGAGCAAGCTCATCACCAAGAGGAGGTCTCATGTATACACTAAATGGCATGGGAGAAGGTCTGAAACAGTGGGGTTTCTAGGGCTCACAGGGACCATGTTCCTCATGGCTCCAGGAAAATAAAAAATTAAAGTTAATGGGGAGTTTTTATATGATTTCATTAACCAGGTTCAATGTTTTCACTTGCAGCCACAGTATCATCCTAATATACATCCTGCTCAGCCGCACTGGCATCCACATACACCTGTGAATGTAAGGTAAGCAATCTTCACTTTATGAAAAAGATGATTACTTCTTTCTTTATCCTAATCTGTTGGCATGAAGCTTTGGTGGACGTATTGGGCGATTTCCTGCACATGAAAAGCAAACAGAAGTGTAACAACTTTAGTGTATTTCTATAGGACGTATGTTGGATGGGAAAATGCTCAGTAGCTTCAATAAAACTAATTGCAATTTCATCAGTATTTAATCTCCTAAGACAAAGAAGAAACTCATTTTAGGGTAAAGTTAAGTTATGAGTGAACAGATTCTTGCATTGCCATGCTTTTTTTAATCTTTTGCAGAAATTTATATGGAAAAATAACATGGATGTGTAACAATGTATCAGGCACTTTACAGATAATTAGTGAAATCATAACATTGAGGTTTTGAGAACTGTTTCACAAAAATATTCCTGTACGTGCTATTGTGCTATCTTCTTGCATACTTTTTTATTTTGTAACTTGTAATGAGAGAAATTGAGCAAAAAGAAATTTTGGAAGAAATTCGGTCCAAGTTAGAACCAGCTTAGTGGAGAACACAGTGGAGGCACGCACCTGCTGGTGGATATGTGTCTGTGCATGTACACGTGATAAAAATCAGCTGCTATTTTATCCTAATAAAAATAACCTTTTTAGGTTACTCAGTTTTTAGACAAATAATTACTGTCTTGACTGAAAAATATCAATACCTTAATCTCCTATTCATCTAACATTTTTATCTCTATATTCTTACATCAGGATAGGTAGATTTCATTCTTAGTGTAGGCAGGCTCTGGAGATGAGGCTGAGCTAAAATGGATGAAAAGGCAATTTTGTCTGAGTCTGAGTCTGAGAATGCAGGAAAAAGGCAAATATGTTCTTAGAAATACTAGGCAGAGAAGCAGGCATACTCATTGTCATCTCAAAATCCCTAGCATACAGCAGTAAAGCAGATACTAAATTTATGCTAGAAACAGAAGACTGTTTAAATTGGGTAATTAACTTTGCCTGTACTTCATGTTCAAGATTATTCCTGTTGTTAGGGTTTACTTGTCCATTTTTTTGTGTGTGATTTAAAAATGTACAATTTCACATTACAAAAGAGTCATTACCGAGAGAGGTTAGGTTTTGCTGAATTTTTTCTAAAGATTTCTTCACTTATGATGCTAGTCTGTAACATTTTAAAGCCAAATAGTTCACCCTGGAGCAGAGTGATACTGAAATAAGCACAATAATGTATTGTAATGTGTGTGGACAAACTCCCCCTTCAGTCCCTCCGCTGCCTGGGTAAAGATTAAGGTCAGTGAAATATGAACAATGGCTTTTTTATAGCTAGGCTTGTAAGTCTAAAAAACATACTTAAAAGTTCAGTGGTGCAAGCTTGGTAGAAAAGGTGCTCAGAATTTTTGTCCCAGTCAGGTAGAAGCATTTAAATGTGTGGTTAAAGTGGAAGCTCCAAATTATTCTAACTTGGAGTTAAAGTGGAAGAGTGGACAATTAACATCTTGGATAGCTTGATTTGAGAAAGCTTAATCCATCCGACTATGAACTTGAGCTCAAACCACAGATGCATGAAATTCATTCTGCTGCGCATGCAAGTCTAGAATGGGCCAAGGGCTGAAATGAAACTACCTGTGCAATACATGTGTTATATGTTTTTTTGTTGAATAATATGTGAAATAATATGTGGAACTGTGTCTCAGTCTTCTTAGTAAAATCATTTCAGTGAAATTATTTGTTTGCAGTTAACTTAATGTGCAGTCTTCTGAGAAAATTCATTCCAATTAATAGTTATCATTATATAACTTCAGAATATCTCCAAGAAAAGGTAAAATCTATACCTGCTAGTATTTCTGCTAGCATAAAAAGAAACCCCAAAAGTACAACTTCAGTTTGGTAATAAGGGAATCTTAAATATTGTGGTTTCCTACATACTGTTCAAAATTTTTATTTATTTATTCCCCCTATCTAATGATTCAGGAGACGCTGTAGGAGTGGTTAGCGCTAATATCTCTAACCAACAATGAGCAAATAAAGAAAAAGTATTTTTCCTCTTAGTACTGTTGCAAGTTTCACTACGTAGTCACAGAGAAATACCTGTATTAGCTATAGACTCTAGGTGTTCATCTTAACAAAATGCCGCTATGTAACTTACAGGCTGCTTCTGTGTAATTAACTGCACCAGCCCTGAAGGAATGGCAGTGTTTACAGAAGAGCAATTTTCATTCTTAATAGGATTGCTTTTCTTAATTTTTTAGGCCTTAGGGGGATATTTTCATGAGCTCCACTTTTTGCATGGTACTGTTTATTTTACTTGTTTGTTGTATGCATTTAGTTTTCCTATAGCCTCCTCCTCCCTCCCCACCATCCCTCTGGGATTCAGGAGCATTGATGCACGACACTGGTCTGTAACACTTGAAAACAGAGAGGGTTTTCTGTGACTGAGCTCTGATTCAAAGCCTTTTGAAATCAGCTAAAAGATTCCCAGTTGCTTCAGTGGCTTCTGCATCAGACCTGTGGGTCTGTCACCATTTCCTTCCCTTACTGATAGCTGCCCATCACACCGTATGCATGCTTGGCGCTTGCTGGATGAACTCGTGTTACTGTGTAGCCCTCATAAGTTTCCTTCCATCTCTCACTAACCAATAACTGTGCAAATGGTACAGGCCACCCTATCATGATGACAGGCCATATTGGAAACCCCCCACAAGTGGAGAGGACAGCAATTTACGATATATCCAGGAACAGAACCAGAAGAATTTAGGAGGAGTCCAAAGTATGGTGTACCAAGATAAACTCATGACGACTCTCTGAAAAAGTCATCTTCATTTCACCTGCCATCTTAGACGATCATTGCATTCCATGGTCCGTGTCTGTCTGCAGTATGTTCAAAGTGTATTGTGCATAAAGTGTGTGTCTTTGTATGTACATCCATCCTTGTTTAGTGTTCATGGACATTCTTGGGAAAAGTATTTTCCGTATCTTTGTAAAAAAATCTTGAAAAAACTTCCATGAAAGCTGGTAAGAATTTTCGGTGCCCCAAGACCAGAAATATTTCTGGGGTTTTACGTTCTACCATACTTCCGAATCTATGACCGCTCTGCCTGCTGTTGAAGATCAGCCATTTGTGCCTTAGTTATTTTTACCTTGTTTCTTTTGAGTCAAATTAATAGATGAAGTTTGAGAAACTTTGTTTTTTAGTTGACATGCAAATAGGAGACTGGAGGGAGGAAAAAACAGAATTCACACTGGCAATCAAAATGGCTTGTGGACCACCAACAAAGGGAGCCTACTGAGTTAGTCATAGGTTTGGGTGTAATTTTTTCTTTTTAATTTTTGTGTTCTGCAGCGAAAATAGATGTGCTTGCC